GCTGATGTGTAGATCAATGCTTGGGTCCCACGCCATACAAAGAAGCCCAATTAGGCAGTAGTTTGGAAGCCTATTGAGCACTTAATACTTATTGGGCCTAAAGCCCATTTCGAACTTGTAGATTTATTTACCCACTTAAAGGGGCAGATCTGAGATTCAAATATAGATTTGAATCTGATAATCTCCTGATAAAATCAGGAGTGGGCTGACATTATCTGCAGATAGGATTAAGATAATTCCCTATCCAAATACAGATTTGGATTAGGATAACTCCTAATGGGATTAGGAGGTTTCTTAATCACTAAGAAGGATGAGAAACCCTAGTCTTGAATTACTGGAATTTGACCCAAGGGTTTAGTAGAAGAACCTCCTGCAATTTGAGATTGGATCTCAGAAACCCTAGAGAGAAGAAAAGCAAATACGCCAACTTCAGCTCTAGAGTTCTTCATCAGCCACCGCTGCCATTCACTGCCTAGTTCGATCTCTCTGAGAGGGAAAGATCAAGAAGGTGCTCTTGATATCAGTCTTTGCTGAAAGGCTGATTGTGTACGGTGATCTTCGCTTCCATCGAATTCTTGTAAAGAATTTGGTTCGTAGGACGAACACTGTTGGTTCTGTTCCAGTATCATTGCGTCATCTTCAATAGGAGCAGATCTTGGGAGTATTCTTTGGGCGTGAACACCGACGTTGGGAGATACCGATTCTCCGTATCAGGTATAACCCTTCCCTTTCTGTTTGGTTCAGATCTAGTTCGGTTTTGGTTCGATTAGATCCTTGAATATTGTATTCTAAAATCAGGGAATACATATGATGGATCTCTCCCTCCTTTCACCACCATCAGCGGGGAGTCTCAGCATAGAGGTAGCGTCTTCCACCTTCTCAACGGAGGGTCTCAGCATAGAAGTAACGTCTTCCACATCCTCAGCGAAAATAATGTCAGTGCTGAAGGTGTCTTCCAACTCCCTATTGCCATCCTCAGCTTGAATTTCAGCTTCCAACTCTGTCTCAACATCATCCTCTGAAGAATCACAGCTTACCCAACCAGCATCTTCTTCTTCCAGCTCATCTCTCCTTGTTCTAGAATATCTTGGGTTTGGCCTGTTTTCTCCGGAATTAACTTGGTCACCTTCATTGGATTTGGCGACTGGAAGCCACCGAAGGTTCTGCCTCACTGTAGACTTCCTCTCTGCGCAAATCTTGCCTTCGTTCGAATGGAGCATCCACAGAAAAGATGATAGACCAATATTCTGGTCTACCATCAATTCCTTTGAGACCCGACTCACGTGACAATTTAAAATGTCACCTGAGTCGGCTTTTGCTCCCTGGCCCGCTTTAATGGACGACCCAGGCTGACCCACAATTAAGCCAGTTGGGTCAGAGCGGGTCAAAAAAACTCCAGAACCGGCTTTACTTGGGCCCCTTCCTATATCTAACTGAGTTCCCCTTTTAATTAAATCCGCAAAAGACAAACCGGTTGTAAGACTTTTTAATTTCAAATTTATTTGAAAAATTCTCCATAATTATTGCTCGATTTTTTGAGCAAGACTTCTCAGTTTCCAAAAAAAGCATCGCCTTTTCTCCAGAAAGAACTTCCTCCCCCTAGTGCTGACGTGTCCATACAGCTTTTCTTTGTTCCCGCCAAGTGTTATCCATCTTGCCAAGTCATCGTCGTCTTCAACCTTCGGCCTCCCACACCATTGCGACGCTTCAACTTCTGAAGCGACCCAAATCTTGTACCAGTATCCATCTGCGCAAAGGCTGATCGTTCTCGGCACGGATTAAGCCATTATACCAGCAATCTTTAAATGAACTGCTCTCAGGTTTAGGGTTTTATACGAGAGTAAAACACCACCCATCGCCAGGACTAATTTCTCCAGAATGGTTTTCTGCCATAGGTGAAAAGGTAAGCCCAGAAGTTTCAATTTGAAGCTTCCAACAACAGGAATTATTGTGTTATCCAACGGACACCAGTTATCAATCACCACAGTGCCTTCCTTTGTTTCCACTGTGGTAAAATCAACCGCTTCCTCCCCCACATCTAGCAGAGCTTTCTTTTCATTGAATGGGATTAGGATAACAGTCCCAGGGAGCCCAGTTTCTCCGACACCTCTAATAGCCCTTTCCAATCCTTTATCTCTGACTTCGCTGAAAGTACCAATCTCTTCTCCCAGATTCCTTTCTCCCCTACCAGTGAGATTTTTGGTTCTGAAACTGTGAAGGCCACCGTTGGCTGATCATGGCATTCAACTGGCTCATCTAGACCCAGCCGTTCTAATCTTTTCCTTCTCTCTGTCATTTCCTCCCTCTTGCTCAGTCCACCGTCAACTCTATCTATCTTTCCTTTCACCGCCCCGGACTCCTTCTTAACTAGTCTCTCGTGGAGTGAATTGGCCAACACAGTCCAGCCCTGTAACTTGTCGCCTTCAGGAATGATGATTGTTTGTTTTTTCTTTTTTTTTTCGAACCTTTCTTCCAGAGTTACAAACCATCCTTTTTCATTTCTTCTTCTCTCCGCAAAGTATTCCCTCCGTAACTATCTGAAGGTACTGTTCCGTATTTCACACCAACTCACATGGACTGCTCCATCCAGAAAGCTTTGAAACCAAGGAACAGCTTCACCCACTAGCAGTATTGAACCTCTCCTTCTTTCTCTTATCTTTATCGTGAACTCTTTTTGATAAAAAATCTCCTTCAACAGTAAGTCTTTCCTTTCCACTATCAATGTCCTTCTCCACTTTCTAGCCGGTGAGAATCCGTCGGCCTCCATCTCTATATTCATGTAGTTCCTTTGCTAGATGCAGAGTAGAAACAGTGCGTTAACAGCAGCTACAACTTCTTGCTACCTGAGCTCCAGGACGCTGGACCCATCCCTCCCCTGTGGCCCTCTTGTGTGTTGATTGGCCAAAGCCCTCGTCAGTAGGAGTATATAGAGAACTAAAAATTAGAGTTGTGTTTTTTCCTCTTAACCAGGGGACTTAATTAAAAATCTTATTATTATTTCTGAAAATTAAGTGTGAAACTGTTAATAGTCATTCCATCATTTACTAATTTAATTTGTGGTTTACTAGTTTATAATTAACATGAAATTCCATAATATTTATTTATGGTTATATGCATACATCATAATGTGTGTGCATCATTTCTTTCAACTGGTTGTCACCTAGGAATCAACTGACTGTGCCAGACCAAAATGGCTTAGTGCTGCCTAGCCAACCTTAACTACACTAAAGTAGTAAACAGCTAAGTGAGGCAGTCAACAGACCAATTTATCAGGATTGATCTGATCCTATACTTATAAAAGATGGATTGAATTAGATCAAGTTGGGTTAAAAATAGGTCCAATCCCAAATAATTAGACCAGATTAGGTCCTAGTTTCCAGTAACCAAATAAGTTAACAAGTGCAACTTATCAAAATTGTACTCTTAACTTTTATTTTAGTAAAAAAAAAACACTTGCTGAATTTAGTGTATATCCAATAATCAATTTAGTGTATAAACCCCAAAAATAGGAAGGAAAGTAGTGAAACTAGTATATGTACATGAAGTTGATAAAATACATCAAAATACACATCTATCCACCTAATTCCACATATCCCCATCTGATGGGATCAAGAGACTTCAGGAACACACTCAGCCTGATTCATAGCATGGACCAAACCCCATGTATTAAATCAAATAGGATTGGATCACAGACTTGTCTGATCCATTAATCGTGCTACTTCTGACTAGCCAACTAGTGTGCATGTGTGTGTGTGTGTGTGTGGGTGGGGGGGGAGAGAGAGACTAGTTTAAAGTTAGAAAATTGAGCCCACGGTCATGTATCTGCAATAAAACTGCAAACTAAAGTAGAAAAAGTAAATCCTGTGATCTAAGGGTTTCACTCAACTAAATCAAATAAAATTTTACCCCAACTATATCATGCAGGATATATAAATCTTCTTTGCTATTCTTTCTATTAAGGGCTATAACCTCTGTAGAATTATGATTTTTTTAAATATTATCACTACCATAACCCAAGTCCTCCAACCACCCCAGCTCTTCTAAAACCCTAAATATGTATCTGATTCACTGCCTTTTACCAATGAAGTTAGTGGTCTTCCATGCAAATGACAAAATTCCTCAATCTAATCTCCCTCATTTTGCCATTTATTGGAGCTATGCCTAAATTCCCAAGGATGCAGTTATATCCTTTAAAAACATACAACTTATCCATCATTATAGTCCCATCCCCTCTACACTAACCTTATGGACAGAAAGGTTTCTCTTCCTCAAGAAGATTTTATGAACTAGAAACAGAGATAGAAATAGAAAACATATTACACAATCTAATTTGTCTAGATGTCTGTAAATTTTTCACACTTCCGCTGGTTATTAAAGAATATTAATACCAATGGATGATACATTCTCTAAACCAGAACTAATAGTTAAGAACAATGTTACCTCTACATGAGTGAGAGGGACTCAACTGCGGGTAGGGAAGAAAGCCCAGAAGCGAATAAAATTGAACAAGCAAACCTCCCCCATTAAAGCCTTCAATTCTACCCCGATAGATAAATCCACTTTCCTTGTATGTCCTTGCTGCCTTCCAATCAGCAGACCTCTACTTCTTTGCAGAAAGAAGTATTAGATCATAATAGATATTGAGAGAAATGTAAATAAGAAAATGGTTATTAAAAAAAAAGGAAGTATTAGATCATGCCAGGTCATAATCATCATCATTCACGCCTTATCTCAACTATATAGAATTGGCTAGATCATCTCAGGTATTTAAAAAAAGTAATTCATGGCAACAAACTTACATAAGCCATTGTATTGACTATTGAATTATAATCAACAGTTTCACTTTGTAGAAAGATTGGGGTGGATGGGCCTTAACTTGCTCCTATTTTTTTTTTATTTCTAAGTTGTCTCTTTCTTATATTGGGTCTTAAGTATATGGACCATCTTTTATTTCTTTTTATTGTTTACTAACACAGCTGCCCTATTGGGGGCATTCATGTAATTCCATATTTTCATTTACAGTTAGTATTTAACATTAATAAAACAAATTGATAGAACTGAAGGGAGTTATGGTTGAGTGCATAGTTGTCAAGGTGATGCCTAGGCGACAAGGCACCCTTGGAGTCTCGCCTCGCCTAATCACCAAGCAGTTTTCTATAGCATGTTATAACAAACTTTTATATTCTTAATTTTTTGAGGATATAATTATAAAATAGACATTTTTAAACTAAAATATTTATTTTGTATGTTTATATACTAATTTCTTTTTGTTATTTTCTTACGTGTTAGGGTTTAATCAACACAAACATTGCTAAATGCTGTATTGAACCCTCAAAGACTTCAAAACCTGAACCATTAAGTAAGAAAGAACATAAAATGTTGTCCAATCAACACATTTTCTTCTTCTTCTTCTTCTTCTTCTTCTTCTTCCACCTTTTCTTTTCTTCTTTTCCTATAACAGAAATAGGAGTTCAGCCCTTATATTTTTCGAATTTTCTTTTCTTTCTTCTTTTTTTCTCATGAATATGTTGGAATATGTTGATTTTCTATACTTTAACATGAAGTTTATACTTTTCTTATGAAAATTATGGATATTTATTAAGGAAATATGATTATGGAACCTAGGGAACTACCTTATTAAAAAAAATCCATCGCCTAGGCGAGGCACCCCCTGTCGCCTAGCCTCGCCTTGGCGCCTTGAAATCTGTGGTTGACTGAGCTCTTCTTCTCCCTCTTCTCTCATCTCTATCTCATCCTCTTCTTGCTCTGTTTTTTCTTTCATTTGCTGTTTTTCATTTAATAATCACAGCAATTTTACTATTCAACTTTCTTCTTGGTATCAGAGAAAACCCAACCTTTCTTTATTAAAAAAAATCCATCGCCTAGGCGAGGCGCTCCCTGTCGCCTAGCCTCGCCTCGGCGCCTTGAAATCTGTGGTTGACTGAGCTCTTCTTCTCCCTCTTCTCTCATCTCTATCTCTTCCTCTTCTTGCTCTGTTCTTTCTTTCATTTGCTGCTTTTCATTTAATAATCACAGCAATTTTACTGTTCACTGTTCAACTTTCTTCTTGGTATCAGAGAAAACCCTACCTTTCTTTTCTTCCTTTTTTAGTCCCATACACAGTGTGTATGGAGAGCTAATCTGTTGATTACTTAGTGATTCATTCGGCCTGATTGGTAGAGGGGTTCTGGAGAGCTTTTTCAATTCAGATTGCTGTCCAAGATTGCTCCTTGGAGTTTTTTTCCCAAAACCCTAGCCAATTGGAAATTTTCCAATTGAGGGTCCTAGTGGTACTTTGAACCTGGTGCTCAGGGTTTAAAGGGTAGTTTTTGGGCCCTTATTGAGATCAATTCAAGCTTAACAGAGTTTTGGTACCCCTAAGGAGCGGCTGCAATTTCCAGATTTCTCACAGGTTGCAAAGTGGAGTAAAGCCCTATTTTTTTTGTTCCTGTTCAGGTCAGCAATTAGTTTATTTGTTTTCAATCATCCATATTTACTATCTGAAAGTATTCTTTAGAAGTATTGGACTTATGGAGAACTCTGGAGTAGAGAACAAGCAGGGTTTAGCGTTTGGACTGGGCCCAAGAGCTTCTATAGACCCTCTTCTGACTGTAACCACTGTGAAACTTCACGGAACAAATTATCTAACTTGGTCACAGTCAGCTAGAATTCATGTTTGCAGTAGAGGGAACTGGGATATATATCAGGTAGTAAGAAGAAGCCAAAGGAGGATGATCCCTCCTATGAGAAGTGCATGCAGGAGAATTATATTGTTATAAGATGGTTAGTGAACTCAATGCAACCAGACGTTAGTCAACATTACAAATTGAAAAATGATGTGAACAGTCTACGACAAGGGGAAAACCTTTAGTTGCATACTACTCTAAGTTGAAATCATTTTGGCAAGAGATTAAYTGTTTTTTTGAAAGATAAGATAGAAAATTTTATTAAAATAAAAAACAGATGCAGGTTGCTGGTTGCTGGTTGTCAAGACGACACCCCATTACAATCAGATTTCCATAGTACCCATTGTTAGACAGTGTATACCCTTAGCTACAATTAGATTGATGTGCATAAGCATTTATTTGTAAATGAATAAAGTACATTGTTGTTTCATGTTAATATTGGTATGTTTCTGTGCATTACCCCTTAAACTAGACACTTAAGAGACTCTTGCTAGTTTAGAATGTTCTCAGCCATTGGATAGACTTGATAAGTTTATCTATCCTAACAAGGCTGACACTAGTGTGTTGCCAAGGAGTTGGAGCATCTTGTCTCAGCTACTAGGGTTAGACCCCGAACACAACTAATGGGTGTTTATTAGAAACACTGAATCCGGACCAATTTCCAATTATTCCCTGGACCTTGGAGATAGATGGGCAAAACTGGAAAGTTATGCATAACCCCAGACTTAATTATGGTATTGCACTAGGTGTTGGACTGGGTTATCTTTGATATGCCAATCAATGAAATCCATCAAGGGTCAAATACCTGGGTATGTTGGTGTTGTCTAAGAATTCACCTAAGTGGGTGATCATAGTGATAGGATCGACCCCATTGTTAAACTGCTAGTAGTGGATTTCACCTATGTTTGAAATATGATTTTGCAAAATATATTTATATATTATATATTACTATTTTATGAAAAAATGTTTGCCAAAGGTTTTAATCACGAGATTCATTCGAACAGAGAGTGTGGCATTGCACCTTACAGCCAAGAGAGAGGTCCTTCCCTGTCGGGTAGTGTTTGATCATTATAGGCCGAGAGGTTAAGTGTAAGAGACCATTACAGGGCTGATTACCTGATGGGCTTTGTCTTACATAAGTCCATTATCCTTGGATCTTCATAGGGTAGCTAAATCTAAGGCCATTTAGATGTAAATGTTGGGCCCTTGGTTCATTGCCTTGAGCAATGAATTCAGCCTAGCCCCTTTCAAGGGTAGGGCCGAACCCATATGGACTTGTGTGAAATCATTGTGAGGTCCCACGCAATACAATATCAAGCCTAAAGTGGCCATGCAACACCTAGGGTCGTGATCCTTTGAAAAAAAATGGGCCAAAGGTCCCATAAGGGTTAGAAAATTTTGAAATTTTGCCCAGCCATCTAGCATGGTTCGGTCATCCATAAGATGGATTCTAACTCTCCAACACCCATCTACAATCAAACAAATAGAAACACTTCATATAAGACTAAACTGATGCACATTGTAGGCTTGAATCTCAAAAACATCCCAAAAATTCTCTGCAAAATCCAGTGATTTAAAAGGCGCGCCTAAGCGCACAGGCGAGGCGCATATTGGGGTATGCGCCTTGCCCAGGTCTTAGGCGCACCTTTTTCAAAAGGCACGCACCTGGTGCGCCTAGGCATGCGCCTGATGCACCTTGCGCCTCAGTCCAAGCGTGAGCCTTTTTAAAATTTTACACTTTTTGCTTTTTTTTTTGCCTACGACTGGGCCCCCGGCTCCGCCCCCGGACCCCCGACCACACCCCTCGAGGCAAGCCCGAACAAGTCTATTTCACTCTCTCACCGAAGCTCCGAGAACCCCCTATTTGCTTATGTTGTTCATTCATTCATTGCAATAAAATATCTTCTTAAAAGGCAATGGAAGTTGTAAAATCATTATTTTTTATGTGAGAAATAAGAATTTCAGACCCTAACATAGACTTGTTCGGGCTTGCCTTGAGGGGCATGCTACAAAGGCAATCAAGAATGCAATATGTTTTACATCACATTAACTACTTTAAGGAATGCAATTAAGGAAGAAAAGAGATTGTGGGCATGCTTGAAAATGAAATATATGTTTGCTTCTATTTTTAAATTTTCATTTGAATACACTTTACATGTTATGTTTATGTATTTTAATTTCCGATAATAGGTTTTTTAAATCATTTATTTTAAAATTTAAGTTTATATTTTTATTAACATTATGTTTAATATTTTTTAAATTTTTTGCATTTTTTTTAATTTTTGGAATTTTCTGACTTTTTTTATTTTTTAGCTTCTTTTTTGTAATTTTGCGCCTTTCTTAAAAAGGAGCACGCCTCGCCTTGCGCCTCAGACGCAAATTGGCCCTCGTGCTTTTAAAACACTGGTAAAATCTGAAAAACTAAATTGCTCGAACTATTGAAGGGAGAGAAACCCAATCTGTGACAAGTTTGCCAATTGAAGCCACAAGTTCTTTAGTGTTTCTTTAATAACCTCCTATTTCTCTCCCCCATAGAGACCAACACACTACAAAGGGGATACAGCTCCAAATTATTTTTGTCTCTTTCCTCCTCTAAGTTGTGGCCAGCTTGAGAATAGTCCAGCTACTGAAGATGGTTGGAAAATGGAAACCTCAAATAGGAAGAGAACAAAATAATAACAAAAAGGCAAGGAATGGGAAGCATGGGAATGCCAGTGTTGCTACGGCTTCAAAAGATGATAAGGGGATCAGTGATGAGAAGTCAATAGTAGAGCAACTTGCAGCCATGAAAGTAAAATTTGAAAGATATGGCCAACTCATAAGTCACTTGGAAAATACTATTGCAGCAAACCAACTCTTCAGGCAACACATCATCATCTACATTTTCTCATTCAGGTATCCGTGCTTCTACCAA